TCCCTTTGTGCCTAGGTCGGCTATAGAAACTTATGGGGTAGTTAGGGGCATCCCTACCTCATATAGGCGATTCTGAAATTAAAAACAATGCGATCTCCTCTGTGCCTATAAATACGGTGTGGCGTTTTAAGCGTAGGGATGGTGAAAATGGTTTCACTCCTACAACTACAATTAAGATTGGGTTCATTGGTAAAGACATTCCAAATTCCATTGTACTTGATTACACCAAGCTGAAGGTTGACTTTTTTATACCACCACTTCGCCAATGTCTAAATTGTGGCAGACTCGGCCATACTCAATTGGCATGTAAATCAAAGAAAAGGTGTATCAAATGTGGAGGTGCTGAATGTGACAGTCAAACGTGTATCAAAAAGTGCATTTTATGCGGGAGTGCTGATCATGTATCGGGTGAGAAAGATAAGTGTAAGCAGTGGGAAAAAGAGAATGAGATCAACTACATCAAAGCCGTCAAAAAGATATCCAGGCGAGAGACTATTCAAAATTACTTTCCGGACAGGGAAAACCGATTCCAGGCGCTTGCAGTAGACGAAGAAGTGTTTCCACCGATTTCTGGTAAAAAAACACTAATCTGAGGAGTAGAGATGTTACTGTTAACAAAAGGCTTACTAAATATAGTTATGTGCTTAAACTACCGCCAGCTGGCCAACCAGGTCGTAAAAGTCCAAAGGTGTCCCCGAGAGTAGGCAAAGAAAGGGAACAAATTCAACCAGTCTTTGAAAAGCCTGAGTACTTGAAGGGAAAGGTAACGCAAATGGAAAAACTCATTTCGGAGCTTTTTCAAATTCTACAGCAAGTTAGTAATAGTGAGCACCTGGGGAGTGTGTTTGAAAAAATTCAAAAGATTAAACAAAATTATGATCTTATCACAATTTCTGAAGAGGCAGAATTGGTCAATAGGGGTGTTGTAACCCCACCTTTATAAGTACTTATGAGAATATTCCAATATAATTGCCAATCTTTAAAGTCAAATTTAAATACAATTGAATTTTATATCAATCATAATAATGTTGATGTAGGATGTTTTAGTGAGGTATTCACGTCAAATGAAACGACTCATAGGAACATTATAGGATACAATATAGGTGAAAAAAAAATAGGACAGATGGGTATGGAGGTGTTGCCATCATACTCAAAAAAGACCTTAAATTTCAAAAACTTCAATTTCATACTGATTTTGACATACTTATTGTTAAAACAAAAAATTGCAAACCTAATCTTACGTTGTGCGCGGTATACTTTCCTCAAAGCATAGCCACTACTCCCTTTAAAGAAGAGATGAACAAATTGATCTCATAGCTAGAGAATTTGGAAAATGTGTTACTGCTGGGTGATTTTAATGCCAGAGCAAGAATGTGGGGGGATTCCACGCAGTCGTGTCGGGGTTATAATCTGCAAAGAATTATAGCTGAGTCGAACTTTACAATTCTTAATGATGGAACTTTCACCTTTCAAAATGAAATAGGGTCTCCGAGCGGATCTGTTCTTGATTTAGCGTTGACCAACTGCAATCTTGTGTTTGATTGGAGGGTTGATCCTGTGAGGATTGGTGGGAGTCATCACTTATCGATCCTTATTGACTCGGTGTCTGTATCAATTAATGCTAGTAAATTTTGTTCGAAGAATAAACTTTTGAAAAATCTAAAAGAAATAGATTTTGATCCTAATGTTGATGAAATTCATAATAAATTCGGTGAAGAAATGGAGGCGGTTACTTATGTTCTAGGTGGGAAAAGAACTCCAAAAAGCTGGTGGAATGACTCCCTGACACGTGCTTATCGTGCGTAAGGATTGGAAGAAAAAGAGTGAAAGAAGCAAAAAGAGCAAGTTTTGAGAAAAAAATTGACGAACTTAATCAGGCACCGACAACTAGGGAAGCGTGGAGATTTGTGAAAGCAATGAGGGGAGATTTTACAAATTCAAAAAATTTTATGTGGTCTCAGGATAATGACAGGAACTTTCTATTGCTCTTGAAGAATCAAGTTCCACCGTCCAATGTATGTTTGCCTATTAATCAAGAAGTCTGCCCTGCAAATCAACTGGCTATTTCTTTTGAAGAATTATTGGGAGTTATTCAGTCCAAACGCCGAAATTCAGCAGGTGGAGTGGATCGCATTACGTATCAGATGCTCAGGGCGTTGTCCGATCAAGCTTTAAATAATATTAGGACGGTTTTGAATAATGCATTCCTCTCGAATCAAATTCCAGAGAGATGGCGAACTATTAAAGTTGTTCCGATCCCTAAGAGAAACAAAGACCTGAATGATTTTGCAAATTTTCGGCCGATTGCCTTGATCCCCGTTTTCCTCAAATGCATCAATCTCTGCATCAAGTTTCAATTTTTCTAGAAGATAACAACATTTTACCTGGTAATTCCTTTGCATATAGACGTAAAAGATCTGCGATTATGTGTATTAACCAGTTGTTACATGAAGTAGCTACACTTAAAAGTCAGGGCTATAAAGTAACTCTGTGCAATTGTGTCAAGGTCAGCCAACTTAAAAGTGACATGCTGAAAGCAGGTGTACATGAGTCGTATGTGGTATGGATTACCAGCTTCTTGTCTAAAAGAACACTTCAGCTAGGAAAAGAAACAGTAGAAATACAGGATGGTTTGCCGCAGGGCAGCTGTCTATCACCTCTATTGTTTAATTTATACACAAAGGGGCTACACGCCATAAAAGATAATAACACGACTATCTATCAATTTGCGGACGATTTTATAATAGTATCTTACTCGAAAAATATGGACACAATGGTTGAAAACCTACAAAGCAAGGTGGATATCTTCTCGGGCTTGTGTGGTGAAATCAACTTAGCATTCAATCCTGAAAAAACGAAATTTATGTATTTGTGCAAGGGGAACCGATCAACTTTTGAGATAGTATGTCAGGGCAGAAGTATTGAGCAGGTTAAATCTATTAAATTTTTGGGAAGATTCATAAGTGCGTCGTTGGCTGTAAGTGAACATTATGGTGAAGTCATAAAGGCTTCTGAAGCGAACTCCAACTTGTTCAAATCGATAACTACAGTGAAAGCAGGCCTGCGCCCACAGGTTGCACTGAACTATTATAAAGCAGTTGTTAGGAGTAAGATCGAGTATTGCAGGTCATCAACGGCTTACTGTTCAAACACCACGAACAATAAAATCAGAACGTATCAGAACAGCTTTTTGAGGAGGTGCCTGGGGCTAACACCTGCCACTCCCATAAATCTAATTTATGCTTTGGCCAATGAGCTTCCCCCTGAAGATAGAGCCAAATGGTTAACGGCAAAGGAACTCATAAACAATATAGTAGCTAACAGAGTCCTGAAAGAATCGTTACATAAATTTCCCGATGTTAAATCCACCTACAGCTTAGTTTACAGGGAGTTTAGACAAGTCTTTGACAGTGTAGATATTATTAATGAAGATATTTCATCTCCTAATCTTAATGTAGTCACCAAGACACTACCTGATAAAAAAGAAAATTTAGCCTTGAAAAGTATAAGATCCATTTATGCAGAGATAATGAATGACTATGAGAAAGCAAATTTCACTATTTTTTATACTGATGCGTCGGTTGGCCCTAGTGTCACTGGCTGCGGGATCTTTTGTCACACTGATAGAAAAGAATTTTCCTTCAAGCTCAACTGTAAAACATCATCATGTTTTGGTGAAATGGTAGCTGTTTACAGAGCACTAGAAATTGCAAAGAATAACTCTCTAAATAAAATTACGATATTCACGGATAGCTTAATTGCGTGCCAGCTGCTGGTAAAGGAGAACACCAACAATCATGTCATTTATAAGATACACAAGGTAATAAAGGAAGCATGTTTTGAAAGGGTTGTAATTGTGTGGACGCCAAGTCACAAAGGAATACTGGGGAATGAAAAAGCTGATCAGCTTGCAAGAGCTGCAATGGGTGGCGATAACGTAATGCAAGTAAATCTGTCGATAGATGAAGCCCTTAGATTAATTAATAATCAAATAAAAGATAACTGGTATGAGAGAGTCTTAGAGTACTCTAGAAATAAGCCCAATCTATTTACTGAAATTTTCAATAGACGTACCAAAAAGACTTGGTTTCATAAATGCACATTGAGCGCTCAAAAAATAATAACGTAACAGATAATGCGTTAGACGAGTATGTATCAACCTTGCACAACCGATCAACCCCGGACTAATTCAAATAATACTATGAGTCGAAACTTTCACAAAGTTTGTTAAAAGTTTCCATCAATTCATAAAACTCAGTATCAGAAAAAGAAATTTAAGAAATTTAAACAACACGGCTATCACATTATGTTCATAATTAATAATAGTTCAAAATATAAAAGCAAAATATGAGGCGCTTTAAAAAATTTAATTTGAAATTAAAACCCAAAAAAAAATTTGTGAAAATATATTACTTCCCCTAAACGTATATGTAGGCAATTTCACGCAGGCAACTTTTATGGAAATTTACAGAAAATATAAACTCATTTTTCGTTTAAATTGCAGGCGAAACCGTCTATTAAGGTAATAAAATCACCATTTGTAATAAAAATATGGTAAGTTATATGCCGTTGCAATAGTGCATACATTTTCTTTTCAATGACAATTAACCCATCTAGGGCTTTATTCAATCAAATAGGGTGTTCTTGAAAATTTTGTTGAGATAGGGAGGGGCTTGTTCGAGTTGCAATCACAACCGCAGTGTTGCGCGCATCATTTAAGTATCGCGTTCTGTATGAATTTCTGGCAATGTATTATCAGTTGGGCAGTTGCAACAATGTTGCCATTTTTCATCAGTACGGCAGTAATGCCGCTTTTATTCCGTGCCTCGAACAGGCCCGAGTTTAGAAACGGCTTCCGAGGTAGGTCGACTTCCACTCAGCCATCGATTTTATGTTCTGGATTTTCGTATATAAGTAGAATCATATTTTCCTTAAAACTAAATTAAAAACAAACGCTTTTAAACCTAGGTTGAACCAACTTAAGTCGATAGCGACCTAAGTACGCTGCACCTAAAGGATATCATATTTCAAACGATACATAATCAAGTTTTTCATAAGAAAATTCAATGAAACAATTTTACGTCGACATTTCTTCTTATTCCTTAGCAGTGTACCTTTAAGACTTTCATGTTGTTGTTGTTGTAATTGTTGTTGCTTATGTGTTAAACTACCATTTTCTTTACGTAAAATACCATTACAATACTCACCCCCACCTCCACCCACAACACAGCCATCTGTGGCGACACAAAGTGGTGCTGAACTGCAAGACTGCGTTAATTGTGTTTGTGTGTATTGCTGTTGTTTTTGTAGTTCTTGATGCTGCTGATAGTAGTAATCATTTAAATTAGTTATATAATAGTAATCATGATCGGCGAGCACATTAATTTCTGCGTAATTATCTTCTTCATCCTCCCCTGCGTCACGCTTTTGTTCAAGATTAATACGATTTTGTTTAATAGCCTCGTTGCAATCACTATTTAGAATTTCTCCAAACTTGCTGTTACTGCAATTTACTTGCTGTTTTTTTAGTTCTATAATTGTATGCTCAGTTTTTGCATTGCGGGCAAACAGTTGATCAAATCACATATTTTCATCGAATTTGGCAAAATTAAAATCGTCGTCACATTGAAATCCGCTGCTGTTGTCCGTTGCACCCGATTTAGCTGCTGGTTGTCCGGTGTTGTTGTTGTTGTTATTGTTGTTCGCTAGTTTCACTTCGCTTGGCGCCTTAAAGAACTCATCATCCTCGAAGGGATCCTCTGATTTCTTGGCAAAAATGTTAATCGATTCGGATTTCTTGATCAGTTCTTGCCTCTGCTGCAGTTTACTGTTCCTCAAATTGTGTTTCTTCGCAGCGGTTGTCAGAAGTGTTGCATTGCTTGTGCTTTGCAACGAGTCCGCATTCCACTGATCATCCTTTTCAAAGTCGAACTGTGCATTTGAGAAATCATCCTCGAAAGCAGCATCGTCGAATTGTGACACCTTCACATTGTCATCGAAGCGCAATTTCTGTGTTATAATGGGTGGCATCATTTGTGAAGCTGGCGATTGCGTGGCATCCAGATCAAATTGTTGCGAACTGCTAACACTCGTGGAGTTTTGTGCGAAGCTGTGCATTTTTTCACGTTCCGAGAAATCATTTGAAAAGCGGAAGGACGATTTGGTCGCTGGTGTCACGCAAGCGCTCGCAGTAGTGGCGGCCGGCGTTGAATTGCAACTGGACGCCGTGCCAGCGGGGGCCGGTGGTGGTGAACTCTGATTAAAGTCCGATTCAAAACCACCATCGAAACTGAATTTCGTAGCACTCCCGGTGCTGCCACCGCCAACAACACCACCCCCACCACTGGTTGTTGCCAGATACGAGCTGCCGGCACTTGCCAAGCTGGCGCTGGCATTGGAACGTGGTGTGGGCGTTTGCTCGTAATCATCAAAGTCATAGTCGCCGCTTCGTGTTGGATATTTCTTCGCAGCGCTCGTTGGCGCACTACATTTGAGGGAACTGATTGGCACTTTGCCCATAGAATGTTGCCTGCGTTCAGTCTCCAGCATGCGTTGATGCATTTCGTGACGACGCCTATTCAAGCGCTCAAATTTGTCCTCATCCGTGGGCGGCTCGTCGTACTCTTCATCAACATAGTCTTCCTCATCGTCAACATCATCGTCGTCGTATGTTATGTAATCGTAATTGTCGCGTGGATGAGGTACTGTCGAAACTGTGCTGCTGTAGCGGCTGCCAGTGGTGGTTGGCGCGCCAGCACTACTGTATGGAATGTCTTTGCCCCGCGAGCGCTGCTTCTTGCGGAACCTGAAGTGCAAAGGACTTTAGGAAACTCAACTCATTTAAGAAAATGTTTTCTCTCAACACTAACCTGCGATCCTTTTCCCCATCTGAGCCCGACGGAGTCTGACCGAGCGCGACTGCCCGTCTACTTTCGGCCAGTCGTCGTTCAGAATCGGCAGCACTTGATGGGCGCTTCCACGATTTCTGGCCAGGCAAGGGAGGTTCTGTGGGAAATTCAAGTGTTATTAAACATCTTTATCACAATTGAAAGACTGTTGTAAGCCTTACCTTCACCATCCCACGGACTGGAACCGCTACTCTTGCGCGCACGCGGCGGCCCACTGCCCATGCTCATGGCGCTTCCCCCGCCACCTGCCGACGCCAGTTGATTGGGGCGCTGCAAGCTGCGTGTATCTGCCACACCACCAACAATATTTGCACCGCTACTCATACGCGCGCGTTGATGGAAATCGTTTTCCGAATCTTGTTCATAGTCAATGTCGCCGGTAGCGCGCAGCTTGATGCCCTTCCGCAGCGAGCGCGTCTTTTCCGGCCCATAGCGTTCACGGAATTCTTCGTGACTCTCAATACTTCCGTAAACATCACCGCTACCGAAGCTACGTCGACGTCGTGTAGCGCTCTCAAATGATTCTACGCTCTCCCGGTCGAATGATTTACGCTCGCGTTCGTATAAATATTCGCCGGCGCGCGACTTAAAAACACCTCCAGCGCCGCCACTGATAATTCCACCCATGGGTGANCAGCGCTCTCAAATGATTCTACGCTCTCCCGGTCGAATGATTTACGCTCGCGTTCGTATAAATATTCGCCGGCGCGCGTCTTAAAAACACCTCCAGCGCCGCCACTGATAATTCCACCCATGGGTGAACGTCCTTCATCGTAGATATTTTCATAGTCTGCGCGTCTACCAGGTTTCGCNAGCGTCCTTCATCGTAGATATTTTCATAGTCTGCGCGTCTACCAGGTTTCGCCTTTTCAAAGCTTCCGCCATCGCGGTAACGATCAAGCGATGGGTCACCGTATGCGTCGAAATCATAATTTGGCCGCGCATAGTCGCGATAGTATTTGCTGCGCTTGTCATAAGCGCTGCGGCGATCATAGCTTGATGATGCATTAGGCGGCAGTGCAATGCCACGTTTATCGTACACGGGTGGACCGTAAGTGCTGCGCTCGTAGGCGCTGCGTTCAAAAGCGCGAGCACGCAAGCCAGCTTGTTCGATCTCCTGCGGCGACCAGGTGTGATGCGGTGCATGGTGATACCATTGGGGAGATTCTGTAAGCAGCGTGCATTTGAGCAGTGAAGTCTAATCAAACAATGATTTATATACTCACCTAAATCGAAATTATCTCGGCTACGCGAAAGTCCAGGTTTCANACTCCCTCATGATACTCACCTAAATCGAAATTATCTCGGCTACGCGAAAGTCCAGGTTTCAATTTGCGATGGTCACGGCGTGCGTTAAATTCATCGTCGTAGCTGTCGAGATAAATAAGCATATTCTAGTAAATTTCACTTACTATATAACTTCTCCGGTTACTTACTCGTAGTCCTCGTCGCAGGAGTTCATGCGTCGCGTGTGTCGCATATAGTAACCATGTCGATCTACCATTCCAGGTGGTGGTGCTATGGGTCCCACACCTGGTATACGTTTTTGCTTCTGAAAGTCGGACAACTCGTCGTCCCATGGACTCAAATCACGTGAAGACGACGACGTCTGATGGCGATCTTTCTTCGTCCAGCGGCGTCCGACATTGCCGCTTTTGCTCCAACCGTCATCACGTGGATCTGATGAGCATGGCGATTCCGCAGTATCGTTCTGTGACGTGTTCGACGGTGGTGGCGGTGGCAAGTGTAGTGATGCAGTCTTGACCGCTGGCTTAGTTACTCCTCTCGCGCGTTTATCTATCTTCTCGATGCTTGGCTTGGGGGAATCGAAAGTGGCCCAAAACTCTTTGGAGTGTTTAACTTCCGTTTCCTTTTGCACATTGCCACCGATGCCAATTTGTTTGGTGGCCGTGTCAATTAGGTTCGAAACAGCCGACAGTTGCGACAGAACTGGCGAAGGTTGTGGAGACTTGACAAGCGGTGATTTTTGTACGGCAGCACCGGGTGTTGGCGACTTCTGGAGTGGTATGGGCGATGTGCTTACGTCGTTAAATTGCGCCTGCGTCGATAGTGTGACATTTGGACGCGGCAACGCTGTTGAGTTTCCTGATGTAACAATGACTGTAGGCATATTGGTCGCTGAATTCGCGGGTGAGGTGCGTTCACGTGAATCCAGCGACAAATTGGATATGGCTCGTTGCATAAGCTCATCGATTTCTAGATCGTCCTTGGAAGAGGAGAGTCCACTGCTGCCAGCCACAGTGAGGAACTTATTATCCTGTTTGGCATTCAATAAATTCGGTGAAGGTTGGGAGGCGGAGCGCTCGGGAAGGCTGTCAATCATATCGGGTTTGTCAGACTTCTCGCCATCTAGCTGCTGCGTGGATGTAGATAGCTTTTCGTATTTGTCCTGCGCATCACCGGTGACATCAGCGTCCTTGTCGTTACTATCCAAACNCCGCTCGGGAAGGCTGTCAATCATATCGGGTTTGTCAGACTTCTCGCCATCTAGCTGCTGCGTGGATGTAGATAGCTTTTCGTATTCGTCCTGCGCATCACCGGTGACATCAGCGTCCTTGTCGTTACTATCCAAACTGCTTTCGCCGCCGCCATCGTCATCTTCTTCGTCGTCCTCCACAGTTAATGCAGATGAGGAAGGCTCCGCTGGGAAGCCGCGGCTGTCAACCAAACCTAAACGATCTGGCCCGCTACTGCTGACGCGTCCGTCCATTATGTGCTTAAGGTCTTGATCTTGATCTTCGTTCAATTCGTCGCTAAAGTCAGGGAACTCTTGTGAAGCCTGCAATGCCGCGGGCGGCTTATTGTCGAAGAGGTTCTCTACGAGTATTATATCGCGTAGCGCGGCATAGCGGTCTTTTGACTGCGCCACCACTTCTGTTATTTTCGTATCAATCTTCGGGGGCTGTACCTGGCCGCAAACTGTAGCGCTCGTCGTGAAGAAGTCATCATCGTCGAAGTTAGCTTCGAAGTGCGCGCCCATCTCATCAACTGCACTTACCGCGATAGTGGAGTCAGTAGCACCCGCCGTTAGTGACAAACCTCCGCTGCCGTCTTCATTTTCGGTAATCACCTCGCCAATGAGGTCTGCATTTTCCTGCTGCTCCTGCAGCTCCTTGTCAATGATTTCGCGGAAAACGGCGTAGCGATCGGCAGAGGGCACAAGCGCTGCACTACGACTGGCTTCGCTCAGTATTGGCGGGGGCGCGACTGGCGGTTCGTTGAACTGCTCGAAATCGGCAAATGCATCTTGACTTTGGCCATCTGCTCTGCGGGCCGGCAGATCCTCGCCGAACGTATCGTCAAACTTGGCCACAAAGGTTGCCTGCTGGTCGAAATTTACCTTAAAAACATGGGCTTGCGCCAAGCTTGGCATTGGCTCAGCACCGACAGTTTGCATTTCAAGGCGACGTGCAGGCAGCGGACTCATATGAGTAGCGAGCGCTTGATCGCCACCAATTGCACCTCTAACTGCTGCCGCGGTTGCGCGCTGTGGCTTTGATTTTTCAATAAACTCTGAGAGATACGAAGTTAGCTCCACCAACGTCATGGTGCTCAATTTGCTAACGGGTACACTCAATTTCGCGGCCAAATCGTCAAGACTCAACGTCATTAACTGGCTCAATGTGATATCAGGTATCAACGATGCAGCCGCCGTTGGCGCGCAAGCACTTTCAGCAAGCGCTTGCTGTTGTTTCTGCTGTTGTTGTTGCAAAATCTCCAACTTGTTTTCGTAGATATCTTGTGGCTTCGATAGCGAATGCTGGCGTTGCGCGCGCGAACGCGTCGAAGTCTGCGTTGGCGGTGGCAACAGCGGTGGCACATCGGTCGGCGCTGAGCTACCAATATTGCCAACGCTACTTATGGGCGCCAAGTAATCATCCTCAGTGTGGCCAGGTTTTCGTGGTCGTCCTGGTCCAGGATAGGTGCCATCTGAGCGACCGACGCGACGTGATGGCAACGGTATCGGTGGAACTTCGGAGCCAGCGGCGCGCAAAGTCTTCGCTGCGGAGGTGTTGACGAACTCATACCGGCTGCTCAAACTAGCCGTTGGCGCGCTGGGTGGTACTGCATTGCCTGAGGTCACGCGCGGACGAATGATAATATCGTTAAATTGTTTCTTGGGCGGCAATGGCGGCGGTTCTGCATGCAGCGCCGAATCTGGACGCGGCGGTGGTTCCGGCGCGGCCTCATTTTCGCTCAGTGAGTCGCTCTCCTGCAGCCGACACATATTGATGCTATTCGAATCGCGCTTGGAGAAGCGCGTCTGGCCAAACAAGTGCGGCATCTTTTTATTGCTGATGCTGGAAATAACATCAGCTGTTTGCTGCTTGAAGACTGACGAGGGCTGCGCCATAGCCGACAACTGGCCTGAAGGCGTTGGACGCGAACGCACAGTGCTGCTTACGCCTCCAGCTGTTATGACGCTGCCGTTGCCCATTGCGGCTACAGGTTCATTCATTTGTCTTTCCAAGCGCGCAACATCCGCACGCCACTGGGCCGCAGTATTGAGCGGTTGTGCGGGCGTTGGAGAAATTCTGCTCTCTGGCGGTAAATTGACTTGTAGCGGCCCATTGAAAACATCCGCTGAACGTCGCGCTTCAACGCTGGCGGATGGTGAGCTACCTTGATTGACCTCAGCGTTGTTGAACTCAAACTCGAAGGGATCCAATTTGGCAAAAACGTCATTGCCCTCTTGGAAGGGGTCACTCATCTTGCGCGTCGGGGAAAATGGGTCAGTGTCACGTGGCATCATCACGACATCACCAACAGCGGCTGCGGCAATCGTCGTTGTCGTGGAGTCTAAAGTGCAATGATTTAAATGTAGATTAGTAGGTATAGCTGTTGTATGGCACGAAGATGTTGCCGACGACGATAAGGTCGGCTGGTAATGGTGCATTCTTAAAGTAGAAGCTGGTGTGGAATTAGTAGAGTAGGTGGAGGTTGTTAGTAAACTGTTACTAGACGCTATATGGTGGTTAGTATTTGTTAATCTAGACACAACAACATTAGAAGCGGTGCTCGTGTATTTGGTACTGCTTATGGTGCAGGTGCAAATGCTAGCTGTGCATGGTGGTGCAAGCACACCGATTAGTAAAGTTGTTGTAGTCGTTGATGCAGTGGCTGCTGTTGTCGCAGACATCGTGGTATTTGACATTATTTTAGAAGTGTTTAGGGCTGTTTGCAAGCCAGCTATACCTGATGTATGAGTTGTGTTAGTAATGTTAAGTAATGGTGGTGGTGGTGGCAATGTATGCTGCTGCTGCTGCTGCTGCTGCTGCAGCTGTTGCATTTGCTGAGCGCCTTCACTTTGACCATCCATATTCGTTAGATTGTCCTCGAATAGACCATCTTTGCTGAGAAATTCATCGACTACCGCAGAGGCGGCGGTATAGTGCACACCCGTAGCGGTTATATCGACAATGCCATTGCCACCTGAAGACAAGTCGTTGAGCACTTTCTTGGGTGGATTCTTAAGGTCCTGGAAGAAGTATTTCTTATCGACGTAGGGACGCGTGCGACCCGTACCTAATGGATCCAAATCTGTAAAAGCATCTAACACATGGGAAAAATTTATGAATCAGTGAAATTTCCCCGTAGCCGAGTGCAAGCGGAGATGATTATTGAAATGAAGTAAGGAGAAAAGGCGGGGCAAACTCAACACAAATACATAAAATTATGCGTATGAAATAAATGTTACCAAATTAGCGTACACATACAAAATATAACTTAACTAAAGCTTGTGATTTAGTAAATACGGATCTCTGGCAAAACTTGAAAAGCCTTTGCAAGTCAAATTGCACGATAGCGGGGCAACACAAATTAATTTTTGTAAAAACTGTCATTTCGACAGAAATCCTCTCAATGTATTTGGGAAATTTGTATCCTGTAACAACATGAGTATTAACCTGGTAGAGCTCTGGTGTCCAAATTGTCTCATAAAAATATTACACGCTACCGAAAACAAAGACAGTTTGAAATTAAACTCTTGAACAAAACCGTGCTTTAAGCTCCTCATGCATGTGTTCGGAAAAAGTACTCGATTCAAACAACAAAACTTTCAAGCGACTTTGTCAGAAATCCGCACAATTGTTAAAACATTTACAGAACACAATGTACAACAGAATTTTCTTATGCAAAGAAAAAAACTTATATAAAAACGTACCGGAGTTAATTGATAAAATAAAAAAGAAACTTTGTTGAAATATGCCTTCAAAAATGCAGTAGTTTTCATAGTATTTTCCAATCTACCTGACTTAACTGCACCGCCAGCTGTCGGCTGCGAAGGTCCATCGCCCAATATTGGTATTGGTGAAGATGATGTCGTTCCCATAGCAGTTGGCATTGTTGTTGCTACGCTTCCACTAGACAGTTGGGCATTAGCTTGGATTGCAGCTGCTGCGGCTAATTCCACATCTACCAGTGTTGAATTCTCGCTTAATTGTTGCGTTGGTGTGGACGTAGATTCGCTGGGCGCTAGCGGTGCCATTGCCAAGCTAACACCCATGCCAATTGAGCCAGCTTTTGAAGTGTCAAAAACATCATTTTGCTGGTCAAGTTCATGCAGCCAATTGTCATCGTCGTCATGGTGCAAAGTACCCGCTGAACTGCTCAATACTGCTGCAGGTGAAAGTAAAGAAGATAGTGTAACATTTTGGGCTACACTAGATGTTGTTGCCGGTTGATTGAGTGTTGAATCAGTCGATTTAATTGGCTTGTGGCGTGATCGACCAGATTCGGGTGGCGGCAAAAGGTTGTAAGTCTGCAAGTGAAAGTTACAACTTTATTTGTTTGGGGCGGACGTTATAAGATAAAAAAAAAGCTTTACAGGAAAGTTGGTAAATGAGTCGCCAAATGGATCATCATCATTAGTCGCTTTTCCAGCGACGCCACAGAGTGACGGTTGCGCCGGCTCATTAGGCGTAATGCGCTCCATTTGTGTTATACCGCGTTGTAAGGAACTTAACTCCTGCTCCAAATCAACTAAATCTGCAACTGACTCAGGAGACATCTGCAAACAGTTTACGCCAATTATTTAAGTATACCACATTGTAGAAAATCGAAAAAACAAACCTCTTTGGCTGCTCCTTTGCTGTCCATATTAACACCCAAACGATTCGAGGTTGTCGCACGACTTTGCCCACCAATTCCACTAAGCATCGACAACGTGCTGCCACCGCAGCCTCCACCGGTGCTACTGAGATCATTGTGGCTGCTCAATCCAGCACCAATGCCGCCAGCGGCGGACTTAAGCGATGATAGGGAGGCGAGCTGATGTTCGTGAATGGATTTTGATTGAATTTGCTGGCGTGCCAATTCTATTTCCTTCTTCTTCAGCTCGAAAACAACCTGGAAGAGGTCGCGCATAGCTAACACCACCTAGAACAAGACAAATGTGCAACAAAAAATCAAAAACACACCTCTTCTACTTTTACTGCGCCCGTAACTAATATCTTACCTGGCTGGCTGCTTTGTCAGTCTTTATACCGAAGAAGCGATGGCCGCTATCTGGCGAACCGAATATATAGCCAAACGCACGTGAATCCGTCATATCCTGCGCGATGAACGATATTTTGTGCACGGGATGGTGATAGAGTGAGTCCCCAGTTTTTTCATCACGCAGCCGTAGTCCATCGATCGTTACATGTATGGTTATTCGTTGCTTGTGTTCGCCCGCGGCACGTATGGCCATTTTAAGATCCTGCAACGCCTCTTGGCACATACGATCACCACGTGCCTCGCCCACTTCGAGTATACCAATAAGTTTAGCCTTAAATTGCACGCCATCACCAAAGAAGCGGCCTGGATCATTGCGATCTGTGTGAAGAAAGAAATTTGTTTCACTAAATTTTTTTTTTAATTTGATGAAAAATTTTGCAGAAATTTAACGTAATAGAACCACAACTAGAATGTTCTTTTTTTTAACTAGAACATTCCCTGCCGTTTGCGCGCAAGCAAGGCGGTGGCGTTGGTAGAGCTGGGATACTATCGATAAGTGAAAACTGTCACCACTATCGATACTTTTTGAAAACTATCGATGTCGGTTTTAGCAAGACTTCACAATTACACATTACATTATTTTTTTATGCAAGAAAAATCACAATACAGTCGGCAAAAAAAAATTAAGTCATTGGGATTTTTAGCAACTATAAGCTTACACTGAGTTATAGTAAAATTTAATAAGCTATAAAAATGCTTACACAAAATTTTTTTAGAAATTCGAATTAAAAAGTTTCAATTTTTAATTATATTAAATTTTTTATGTTTTGTACAACTTTTATAAAAAATTAGTAGACACTAAATAAATAATAAAGTAGTCAAAACTGCTAAAAAATGTTGTGGTGCTACTATTTTGAGCAGTACTATATTCGCTTTCTTATAAAATGGTAAAAAGTTAATAATTTCCCTCCGTATTTGATCTCAGTTGAACTTTTATAAGAANTCTAAATTTTTTTTTTAATTTGATAAAAAATTTTACAGAAATTTAACGTAATAGAACCACAACTAGAACGTTCTTTTTTTTAACTAGAACATTCCTGCCGTTTGCGCGCAAGCAAGGCGGTGGCGTTGGTAGAGCTGGGATACNACTAAATTTTTTTTTTAATTTGATGAAAAATTTTGCAGAAATTTAACGTAATAGAACCACAACTAGAATGTTCTTTTTTTTAACTAGAACATTCCCTGCCGTTTGCGCGCAAGCAAGGCGGTGGCGTTGGTAGAGCTGGGATACTATCGATAAGTGAAAACTGTCACCACTATCGATACTTTTTGAAAACTATCGATGTCGGTTTTAGCAAGACTTCACAATTACACATTACATTATTTTTTTATGCAAGAAAAATCACAATACAGTCGGCAAAAAAAAATTAAGTCATTGGGATTTTTAGCAACTATAAGCTTACACTGAGTTATAGTAAAATTTAATAAGCTATAAAAATGCTTACACAAAATTTTTTTAGAAATTCGAATTAAAAAGTTTCAATTTTTAATTATATTAAATTTTTTATGTTTTGTACAACTTTTATAAAAAATTAGTAGACACTAAATAAATAATAAAGTAGTCAAAACTGCTAAAAAATGTTGTGGTGCTACTATTTTGAGCAGTACTATATTCGCTTTCTTATAAAATGGTAAAAAGTTAATAATTTCCCTCCGTATTTGATCTCAGTTGAACTTTTATAAGAATGAGTTGTCAATTTAAGCGAATATCTTTTATTTTGTTTGTTTTGTAGTATTATAAATGTATTATTAAAGCCAATTTCACTTCTTTGCACTTTAAAAGGGACAAACACAATCCGATTTTAATTTTGCCATATAAAAAATAAATTCTAAGGGATGCAAGGGTATGTATATAAGTTATATAATTCAGACGCATAAATTAATAAGTTTATTTTATTATTATAAAAAGTTATTTTTGATGCACTCAAATTAAAAAAAAATATACAATCTATTTAATTTACAAAGTAATTTATAAATTTATTAATTATTTAATTTCAAGCAATTGAGCGTTTCAATTCAATACCTTTCACGACGTTAAGAGCGAAATACACCACACAAGCGGTTTGACAAACCAAGCGAAATTTCCCTTTGCTTCAAGCCATTTGTGCTGTCTATGGGGTGTTTGAAGGTTTGACAAACCGCTTGAGGGAAATTTGAGCAAAAATCAAATTTTTTTGATTTTCTGGCCGCCATGTTGATGTTTGATCAAACCGCTTGCGATGTGGATGGTAAAATCGCCTCAATTGCAACTGAAATTTCACCAAGTGAAGACGTAAGGAAGAATAATGGTAGAAAACTAAAATGTTTTACATTGTTAACCGAAAGTAAACTAAAATTCTGTGCTTGAACGACTCATGTTTGCAAGAAATTTGCACTTCATTAGATTAAAATTGATTGGGCTAAACTGCATACTCGAAAATTTTCTAAAAATTCTGAATTGGATGCTATATTTTTGAATTTTTGTGAACTTTATAGAAAGTGTGAAGTTAGGAATTACATTTATATTATTATAGAATGAACTATATTTTCATTAATATATAAGGCAAAAAATTGTTTATAACAGTAATTGTGAATATTATATTAGAACAAGGTGTACAATTTCATTTGTCACCTAGTGTATATATGTATGTAAGGAAATTAATAAATATTTCTGATGGAAACGGCGAGAAACATACTTTACGTTGTTGTTGTTGTAGCGGCTACAACAACCAAGCCCACCCTACAAGAATAGTGGGTAGGTTCAGAAGGCGCAGCAGTTGAGTGCAACCGTTGCTAAAAAAATCAGTGATCGTTATGAGTCTTCTGAACGGCTTGATCCACTCTCAAAGTAACATACCAACATGTTGTCTCAAATGATCAGAAAAATATTACGATCATCTCACACGCAACTTTTCAGTTGATCAGAAGTACAGAACAACGCGTTCAGAAGGTGCAATCGCAACAGTTACTGAGCTGTTGCGCCTTCTGAACGTGCCCAGTGATAGTCATTTGATTAATCATGTGTAACTCAATGGTGATGGAAATGTCCATCAAACACTCCAAGGCGAATTTATACAACGTGCCCAATAAATATTGGGCTTGGTTAACAATATGAAAATGATTGGAAAACCAATATATTTTTCGAGTCCCACCTTCGATAACTAATGTGGAATAGATTAGTGTTCGATTCGAGAACTAGGCCATTCTCACAGCAAAACGGAACCTTCGGTATCCAATGTATTTTTCCTTCATTATGAATTCGAAATCCAGCCCATTATCGAATTTAAATTTTATTGAGAGAGTGATTTTCTTTTATTTGTCTTCGAAAATGAGTGGTTTTCACTCCTCTCTTGTTACTTAATTTTCAGTTTTTTTTTTCGAACCCATCTCGAATGTATTTCCAATGCACTATAAACGTTGGGAAACTAAGGTTGGTTATGAGTTTGTTCTCAGTTCGATATGCTTATTGGATATCGAAGGTAATTTTCGAACGTTCGCCTAAATGTTTATAGGGGGTGTTGTAAGACCAGCTGATTTCTCCGCCTTACATGTATTTTGTTTTTGCTTTTACTAATTTGACAGCACACCCATCAAAGCAAAAAAAAAATACATGTAAACTTTTGGGCGAATTGAGATTTGACATAACGCCCGAATACAAAATACATGTGGTTGTTGTTGTTGTGTACTCTAAATTCGCCACTAACACCATCTTGTATAAATTCGCCTTGAAGCATACTCATCACGTTTTAACAGGCTAACCTAATATTCGCGGCTTGCGTTTTGGTACGCATGCCGTCGAATTTGTTTTTTTTGCGTCACCGGAAATTGACTTGCATGCGTTTGTATTTGATTTCATTGAGCGAAACGTCAAATCAAAATGTCACGCAGAACAAAAATTGGAAATTGAGTTAGCTTCATACGCACGCCGTTCAATTTCGGTTGATCTCATACAAGTTGCATGTGCATGAGAAATTTTTGACAATAAATTGGCGGCGTGCGTGAATATTAGGTTAGCCTGTAAGGCCAATGTGCTAAAAATGATGAAAACAAATGTATACATGTGATTTTGTATCTTCTTTCAACATATGACCTTATTTAATGGTCTTTTTAACCAACGCAAAGTTTGCAAATGTGTTAGTAAGATAAATGAGAATGTGTTAGTTTCCACCACCCAATTCTTGTAGAGCAGTAGGTCGTTTCCGAAATGCCTGTATTATAATGGAAGTAACGAACGGAGTGAGCTGTCACTTAATTATCTATTGTATGGGCAATGAATTCGAACGATTATAATGCACTTGAAATGTGAATGTAAAACGGAAGCATCTAAAATCAATAGATCCAAGGCGAATTTTTACAAGGTGGTGTTGATGGCGAATTTAGATTTTCGACCGCGGTACATATTAATGTCAAAATGAGGTGTTTGTTGTAAACAAGGCGAATTCATATTACAACAAACACACTATTTTGGCATTAAAAAGTACCGCGGCGAAGATCTAAATTGGCCATCAACACCACCTTGTATAAATTCGTCTTGAATAAATCTTTACGAATTCGCCGCGATTTGTTACGACTCGCCCCGCATATAACAGGGTATAACAATTCTCTTCCAAAGCGAATTGAGATATGAACCACCTATATAGTGAGTGGTAGAGAATGACGCAGAATGACGTATATTCTCTACCAGTAAAGAAACAATTGGTAGAAGATCACAGAAACGGGCTACAGATAGGTTGATATATTTGTCGTCGTCGTCAAGCTCAACTAACGGAAGTCCCAAGAAGCGTGAAGCCTTAATGGGGTCGGTCCACTGGGACAAATGCGCTAGCTGTGTCGGGTCTTCCGGGCATACGAAGAGATGTTTCGAGTCGAGGGGTGTCTCTCCGCATGCCGGCACATCTGCGTTTAATCTGCTCAGATATGAATACCGCTCAGGGCCTGTCAGTTCGTAAAGACGCCTTCTGACATGCCTTGGCGAGGGCTCCTCTGCAAGCAAGTGTCTGTTCGGGTGTCCACGTCTGTGGCTCCCTACTAGGAATTCCTTGCAGAGCATCGAGTTGTGCTCTTTTATGGGGAGCAGGTGGCGTTCTGGCGAAATCAGAACATATCCTGTCGCTATCCTTTACGTCATATCCATCGATTCAGTGACATATTTTGCTTTTTTGTTAAGAAATCTCCAATGTAGGTTTTGGAAATCACACCTATTTCAAATCGTACGATTTGCAGCACATTTCCAAATGATCTATCAAAAAATAGTTGCGTTCCAGATGCTTCACGATATTCACGATTTGCAGGAACAGCTGTTTTCTCCATTAAGGAATGTGGTCACCTGGAACGACTTCCTGTAAAAACCTGCAAATCGTGAAGCATGTGGAACGCAACTAATATGTGCGACCAGGGTATCCATCGTTCCCACGACAGTCGGGTCTACGTAACCGGAACGACCCAGATTTATATCTGGCCAAGGACTGTCACTCCAGCAACACTCCCCAAAAAGTCTTTGGGGAATTTGTATGCTGCTACAACAACAACAACAACCAGGGTATCCATATCAATGGCATTTTGATAAAACAACTTGAGTTACTTTAGGAAGTTGGGCTTTGGATTAAAAAATAGACAAGTTTCCTCCCTAAAATTTTAGTCTTAAACTGTGGCGGTTAAATATTGTTTGGAATCCAATAAAATATTGCTTAAAAGAGACAATGGACTAACCCGAGATAAGTTTTTTACCAAAGTACCGCAAATATGTATATATGTACGTATGTACATCAGTGGCGGATACTGAATTTCGGTTGGGGTGGGGGCGACTTGGATCAACTAGCGATTTGAAAATTTTTAACAGAAAAAGTATTTTATAAAGTATTTTCACATCATCATAGTTTACGGCTCATTCGTAACTCATAAACAAATCGAGTAATTTTGCCAGTTTCAAAAAATTTGCTAACATAGTTTTAAATTTTTTAATCAGATTTTTTAGAAAAGTTTTGGGCACGCTTTTTTATAGCCAATTTAATTTCAGTATAATAAAGTGCAAGTTCGAAGTTTTGCATTTTCTTCGATATAAAAATACGAGTTTTTTAGAGCATAAGTATTTTGTGTGGATGAAAATGCAAAACGTCTCTAACCAAAAATATTAACAAAAATCTACTCGAATTTTTAGGTACTTCAAGCGTTCAATTTTTTTACTGAGATTGAATGAGCTATAAAATTTCATACCCAAAAATTTTCTTGTCAGCCTGGTACTACGCAGCCATGTTTTTAACTGGCGAAGGGTTGAAAAACTTATTTCTGAAGTAGCGTTACTAACTTGAAGGGTGGCCCTGCATTCTGGCTTTGTAAATCAATGGAAAAGAATACTCGTCGCAGTTACCAAGCACTTCACGTTGCACACAGGAGTATTTGTATTATAAAACCGGTAAAAGTTAGGATTTATTAACTTTGATATTTTCTTACGTGATATTATTTCTCAAGCTATATAACCGATCTATCTGTTGGAAGGATTTTTGACTACGTCAAATAAAACATAGCCCTTTTTGTGATTTTTTTCTGCGCTTCCTATAGCAGCATTTTTTTCTTTCGATATTATGTTTTTATGGACCAATCTTAAAATAAAACTAGTAAACATAAAAATAGAAAGCATATAAATACTATAATTTATATTCTTTTGAACTATTTGAAATTTAGAATTGGGATATTTATTTTGGGCAAAAATTTTAAATATAGCATTTGCACATTTATTTAAACCAAACGCAAATCAATTTAACCCAAACGCAAATCAATTTAACCCAAACGCAAATCAATTTAACCCAAACGCAAATCGATTTAACCCAAACGCAAATTAAATTAAACCAAACGCAAATTAATTTAACCCAAACGCAAATTAATTTAACCCAAATGCAAATTAATTTCACCCACACGCAAATTAATTTCACCCAAACGCAAATTAAATTAAACCAAACGCAAATTAATTTAAACCAAAACTATCATTGCCACTATAGATTAGTAGTTGTAGTTTAAATCTATAGCAATGGTGGGCACGCCATAGAACAATTGTTTATGCTCACTTCACACGTCGTTGGCGAGACAGCAACGGATCAACATCGCGAGTGACTATTCTGCTTTGTTTCTCGAATGCATAGATTCCATAGGAAACTTTTAGGTGGAAGCAATAATCGTTTGGTGTGAACGGCCTTTTCACT